ACTGTTTATGTACGTGATGGAATGCATAACTTTTTTTGTTTCAACAACGTCTCACCCAGCACAGTGGTCGTAAACTCTTAAATATATTTTACGTAGTAATAAAAATATAACTTGACATACGTATTTATAAATAATTTATATTCAAATTACATCATTTCTATGACCAAGGGCGGCGTAAGGCATGGACGACGTGGGCCACCGCCTATGCCTTGCGGTCCGAAGGGCCTCGCCCCTTGAAGGTTTATGCATTACTTAAAAGCCGTGAACGCGACAAAAAAATTTTACTTGTCATAAAACGATAAATAGTTTGTCAAATTTTTATTCATAAAAGTGCAGTTTCAACTGCTTTTTATTTTTATAAAATCTGTCTTCTTGTGCCACCAGAGGGCTTTTATACAATAGGTAGTCTGTTCGCATTGGTCAGTAGTAGTCCAAATTCAATACGAACGTTTGTTTCTTGAAAATTTGATCACGATTTAAATACAGTACTTACTTTTAATATTACCAATATGTCATCGAAAAGAAAACATGTTGTATTATCATTAAAAGACAAATTAAAGTATTTGTTTTGATTATCCGGATTTTTCCTTATCCGGACTACCTTCAAACCCAATTAGTCCAGATAATCTAGGTTCTACTGTACTTTCTGAACAACCCAATAAAACTAAGTGATATAATAGCATTTGTAGGTAATTCCTAATCCATTAAAGGTAATGCATTGTAGTATTTTCATTTCTGTAATTATTACAACCAGAACTCCTGAGCAATATTGATAAGATTTCAACTATGTTTTTTACTGGTGCTATGTTTACATGTGGTTTAGACATGATGTAGCACTTTATCCCACTTGCCAAGGTTTCAGGGATGGCCACTACATACGTAAACTACTATGTTTTTGACCCCAAAGTCTTATATATGCACTAAAAATTGCTTTTACAGTTAAAAATGCAGGCAATCTTTTGATGAATGAATGATAATTTTATTATATAATTTGGATCAAATAATTAAACAGTTTTGTAAACTCATAATTATATATAGAAACATGGATATAAGTAAAATATAATTAATAAATTGATAGCATAATTATAAAATTAAATTTTTTATTATTATTATAAACAGGTTTGTTAAATACCAAAGTACAGGGTTAGTAAGAAATAAGTTTTCCACGTTAGAGAGTAGAGTGTGTTCTACTGCTCGAAATGAGACAAAATTTGCACTACAGATAATTCAAATGATGTGCTTGACATTTCTTAAATTAAAAAAAATATATAGTACAAAAATCCATCGATGGGTGGCACTGGAGCACACAGACATGTTGAATATGTAGCACTAAAACTGCTCAATATGTCGTCTTCATTATTAACAATGTGCTATAATCGCAAAACCATACTAAGACAGCCTTTCACAGATGCACGGGTAATCAGCCATTATTTTCCTTTAGCATTGCCTCCTTGCTCACTGGATATCATTTCTTGTGACTTTTGGTTATGGAGTTTCCTGAAGGACAGTGTCTATTGTAGAAAACCTGCATCTGTGCCAGATCTGAAGGACTGCATTTGGCACCATGTTCTGGATATTCCGGAAGACTCACTGTGTTCAGCTGTGGGAAATATGGTTTTGTGATTAGAGCACATTGTTTAAAATGAAGAAGGACATATTAAGCAGTTATTTAGTACTACATATTCAACATTTGTGTGTGTGCACACATTCAATATTTCTGTGTGCTCCAGCACCACCTATTGACGGATTATGTACTTTTTACTAATTTATTTATGTAAGAAATGTCAAGCACATTGAATTATTTGTAGTCCAAATTTTGTCTCATTTTGAGCAGTAGCATGCTCTCCAGAGCTCTCTGAAGTGGGGAAACTTATTTCTCACTAACCCTGTAGATAAATAATTTATCTGAATGAAGATATCATCTCTGGGTCAGGCTTAGTATTGTTTTATAGAACTTTTTAAATATCAGTTAAATGCTGATCAAAGTTTCTTCTTTTTCTGATATTTGACTGTCATATAATTTCTCAAAGACAATAACAGTCCTTAGAAAACCATCCTTTTACTACCACAACATTAAAGTTTATTGTTTTGTGTACTCTCATTTCCAAAAGTGATGGGGTGACAATGAACAATCCAAAAAAAGAGCAATAAAAGAAAGTGCAGTGTGTTGTGTATGATCTTATCTTGATAATTACCAAAATGCTTCAAATACTTTTGTTTCAAATCCTTAATAACTAATTAAGGATTTGAAACAAAAATATTTTATTGTTTGACATTTATAGTAATATTTATTAAATTTGTCATTTATAGATCTGTGCTTTGAGAATTACTGAGAGAGCTCGTGGTAGAATTTTGAAAGCTGGAGGTGAAATAATGACTTTTGATCAGTTAGCTCTGAAGTCACCAAAAGGAAAAGGAACTGTATTGATACAAGGTGAAGTTTTAAATACTGTATCTATAAATTGTTATTTAAATATAAATAGTTTATCATTTAATATATAAAATTGTGTTAAAAAACAGTAAAGAAGCATTAGAAAAATGTGTGAATCTTGTTTTTTTTATAAAAGTCTGTAACAGCTGGAACATAGATAAATTAAACACTGATACCATTCATACAATCTTTCAGCAAATAATATATATTTGAATTCAATACAAAACAGAAGGGGCCTGCATCAAGCATTGAACTTTACAGAACTGTAGAGATTCTGTTTTATAACGTTTTTTAAAATTGTTTTCTTTTTGATGTTGACTGGTTTTTGAATATTTAACACGTGTGTTACATTTTACATATATTCTACAAATTATTATAACAAGAGGATACATGCACATAGTACAAAAATTTATTTATCTATAGTATCATCATGTTGTAATATCATTTATCTGCTCCCCTTTAGAGAGTTATCAACCAAAAACTGCCAAGCAATGGATATTGTCTCATGGTCTTTTTACTATTAATGCACTTTCCATCAGTTGATGCATTAAGACTCCTTATGGTCCAATATGTGAATGAGCCAGGGTGTCAATCATCTGGAGTAAGGCAAAACTCATAGTTTTGCCTTACTCCAGATGATTGACACCCTGGCTCATTCACATATTGGACCAGAATTGTTACTAGTTTATTATTAGGGATGTCCTCTTGATGTTCTTTAATTCTACATGTCTATGATCTATTAGTAGAGCCCACATAAATAAGATCTCTTTCAAATCTATTGTCCAATATGGGAACAATATACCCCTGGGGTTCTATTCACTTTGATCTTATCTTTGGCATTGGATAGTAAGCAAAAGATGGTCAGATTGCACTGATATGTTAACATATTTTGCTATCTTTTATAAGTGGCTTGCAGCCTTGGATCATAGCCACTATGAGGTGTTTTTGTTCCTGCTCTCGAGGTTGTGTCTCTTCTTTCCTGTTGTTAGTGGGGTGGATATTGTTCTTACACTCAATTTTATGAGCTAATGATGGAATAAGTTTTTTTTCTATATCTGTGCTTTAATGCTATACTGTTAATGCACTCCAATTCTATCTTAGTACCTTTAGTGTTGGAGCAATGTGTAAAAGTTCTACTAACTAATGCTCTAAACCCAGCCAGCTTATAACGGTATAGGTCACTGGAAACTGCAGGAATAAAGCAGGTATCTACCTGCTTTATTCCTGCAGGTTATAAACCCATGTGTCAATCCTGCCATTTTTTAACATCATGTAGAGATCAAGGAAATGGACCTCGTTAGTGCTAATTTTGTCTATTTTAAGTGTGAATCTTTAATGGTTGACATTGAATCACTGCAACAGTTTATTCACATCTAGTTCAAACTTCCAAATGGTCAAAATGTCATCAATGTTACAGGTTTAATAAAGTATCTCTGGTAAGAACTCTTGTATTATTTTGTTCTCGAACAATTGATCTATAAGTTCACAAATCCCATGACAGTTAATGAAACTTGACATTATTGCTATATTCCATAATGTAAACAGCAATTTCAAGAACTAAAGCATCATTGCAATTCTCCACCAAAGAAGGCCAGGTCATTTCCATCAACTGGGAAGGTAATGACCATGATTTTTTAAGAGGGCATTTCTCATTGATTACCTTACAAAAGACTAAGCTATCAACTGTCTTTATTATGCTGTCAATTGAATAGCAGCAATTACAGAAAAATGTGCTATTCCATCATGATAATGTACTTTCTTGTATAAGTCACATTGTTCAAAAGAAATTGAATGAGTTATGATTCCAAGTAATTCTCCACTCAACCTACTCACCATATCTAGCACAGAATGGCTTTCAAGCTCAAACTTTTCCCTGTCGAAAAGAAATTTAAATTGGATAAATAACTTATTGCTGCAACGGAGAAGTTGATCATTACAGAACAGGCATAATGGCACTTCAGCACTTGCTGGTTCTACTATGTTGAATTAGAAGGGAAAATGTGTTGAAAAATAAAAGAAATGATTCACTAACTTATGTTTTTCATTTTGAAGTCTCATATCCTATCAAATCACCTTTGTAATTGAACAAAGTGTAAACTATTATTTAATTCATTGTTAAGACTGTTTTTTCAGTGTGTTAAAACAATTTAGTTTTTTGTAATTAAAAAATTAGGTTTTCCTGACATTGGCCCTTTTTGATTGATGGTTTCAATTATAGTTTTTATTTACTTAAGGGCATATTAACACTCAAAGAATAGTTGTTCCAGGATAATTTAAGAATGCTTTTATTAAAGATACTGCCACTGACCAGTGCTATGATTTTCATTCTGGGAGTGAAGGTGGGACAGAACATTGTTTTAGTGAGGTGGATGTTATCTGCAGATTTTAAATTTAACAATTGATCTTTAGTAAGATGTGAGTGGAAAGTTTAATGAAAATTGTAATTATTTGGTGAACGATCAATACACATTTAAAGAAATTCTCCATTAATGGTCAATATAGGTAAAATCGAATAAATTATTTTAGGATGAGGTGGCATTGCTCTCATCCCACCCTAGTGCCATTCATGATACTGACAATATAACAAAAGTTGTTTCAGACAAGAAAGTTTTATGAGGCTAGTACTGGAATTGTGTTCCATAATTCAAAAATTATTTCACTAAGGATGGTGAGATTGATTGAAGAGAGCTGTTCTTTTTGAAATAATCTCTCTTCATATACAGGAATGAAAAGATGACATTGATAAAGTGCTGTCCCTTCACTCTTAATTCTTAAATTCTTTGATAAAGAATATCACTCTTAACAAAAGAGCGAAGGGACAGCACTTGATCAACGTCATCTTTTATTCCTATATATAAATGTGCCTTATTCCATTTCAACTTTCATGGTTCAAAAGATTCAACTACTTTTTAAACCAAATTCTAAAAGGGTTGTTTAAAACATTTGAAGATATCTTTATTATTTTTATAATGTCATTTTTTTTCAAAGATATGCTAATTATGTATTGTGTAAGATCTGTTAAAACAATTATTACCTTTCTTACATTTATCTTTGCTATATATGTCCTTTCTGAATGTACAAATGTTGTCAGAATGGATCCAAAGACTTTATTGAAGGATTAAAATTAATTATTGAGAGTATAATAAATAAATTTGGGTAGGTGTACAGATGTAAATTGATAAACTGTAATGTTTTAACACAACAGATAACTGGAGTGTAACTTTAACCTATGACTTGAAATAAAATTGTTGAAATTAATTTCCAGTAAATAGATTCAATAATAATAATAAAATGGGTCATCATAATGTCATTCAGTGATGTTTGAATAGTGTTTAACTTTTTCTTTACAGCTTTGTTTCATTAATACAGTATACATGTTTGAATAAAATTTGCTTAAATTATGAATTACTGTGATAAAATTAATGAGGAGTTATTAATTTTGTAGGACCAAGAAAAGCTAGAGAAGCATGTAGACATTTTGGTCCAGCTCCTGGAGTTCCACACAGCCACACTAAGTAAGTATTATTAAAACTATAGATTAAAACTCAAAATTATAAAATTACAACATAAGTAATTGCAATTCAGACTGGCTTTTAAATCAAGAACTGAAATCTCAATTTGTCTTAATACAGTAGGGCGTCGATTATCTGAATCAATTGGGAACTAGGGTTCTTCGGAAGATAGATGTTTCGGATAACCGATTATGTACGAAAAAATATATTAATTTATCCCATCTTGACATTTTTCTCCATTGCGTGTCGCTTCACGTTGAATTTTTGTCGATGTTAAGCCTAACGAAGACTATTATATCGTTAAAAATTGCTTTTTTATTTTGCACAAACAAAATAAATATATTGAAAAATATAAAAACAATAAAAAATTATACTTCAGAAGTTAATTTAGTATCAAAAACGTAAAATATTTGAGTAGCCCAAGACATAGCCAAAGATTGCAGCGCCACAGCACTGGCAAAAATTTAAATTTGCCGACTGGAATTCTTTCGGATGATTGGCTTTTGGATAATCGATGCTCTACTGTATTAACTTAATTATCAAATTTATAATAATATTTTGATGATGATGGTTATTAGATTTTAATTAAAATATTTATGTACATATTGTTTACGAAATTTTGAAAATGTTTTACATCTTTATTAATTTATAATTAAATTAATAAAGATGTAAAACAAGTAGATGGTATAAACACAGAAATGTAAAGCAATAAAAACATAGAGGTAAAAAGAATTAATAATTAAATTTTATTTGCTTATTTCAAAAATCTGAATATCATTTATTTGCAATTTTGAAATCTTAATTGGATTAAATATAATCAAATTGTTGATTTTCATGTTTTAAAATAACAAATATTTTCTTTTATAGGCCCTATGTTAGATCAAAGGGAAGAAAATTTGAGAGAGCTCGTGGTCGAAGGAAGAGTCGTGGTTTTAAAGTGTAATATTGTGCTATTGATGGTTGTAAATAAACTGTCAATTTGAAATTTGAGTAGTAAATAAAATTGCTATTACATTATAAAACTATATTTTTTCGGTATAGATGTTTATTATATACCATAGCTATTCTAAAAGAATACATCAAAACAAATTTCTTTTATTAGCTTGACTTCATTAACGTTCATTTTAATTATATTTAATTTTTTCAAAATTTATTTAATATTTTGAGAAAAATTGTTACCATATTTTTGCATATATCAGAGCATGCTCTTATAAACTGGGCAAAATCATTTATGCAAAGTAAGTAAAAACTGTTTTTAATAACATATCTACAAAATTTATTTTTTTGACTAGGTTTAATTAAATTTAACTCAAACAATTTAGATTAAATGTACAGTACTATGCTAATTTGAAAAATAAAATTATTTTTGTCCACAATGTAAGAAATTTTCACAGTTGTGAAAAGAAAATCATGAAATTAATCAAGTTAAATTTTCTTAAGGATAACATACAATACAAGATTTATTGAATAATGATAAAATTTTCTAAAATATCATATATGAAAAGAAAATACAGTTAATGAATGAAAATATAAAACAAAATTAGTCTTAAAGAATTTTTCTGTTTCTTTAAACAAATGTTTAAGACTTTGCTGCAATATAACTAAATTTGTGATTTTGATGAGAGATTTCATGATGTAGGAGGTGATAGTACAGAAAATCAGGACTGTGCAATATGTCTGACAGCAGAAAATAAACGATATACTTTCATTTTTTTATTGTAGCTCGTTACTGCTGTTGTCAAAGGATCAAACAAAAATAACATTCTCGTGAGTCACTGACTCTTGCCATACCATTGAAATAGCAAATGAAAGAGTTTTTCTAGCCTTGAATCTGTTTTCTCAGTTCAACATGTGAAAAACTATATAGAGGCCATTTCTTGTCCTGGTCTCCCAGGTTTGATTACAAAATACATGTTTTTTTGACAAAATCTGTTATATTGTACTGACTTTATTACAAAACTACTTCATACATAAGATGAATCTGGGCTATTAACACAGCCTCTTGAAACCATAATGCATTAATAAAGAACAACACACAAGTTAAAATAAGTGAAATACACTTCAAACACAGTTTCAAATGAATTTTCACAAAATGTTACACAATTATTTTGTCATGGCATAGCATAGCCTGTATGACTTTTGTGCCAAAACACAAACCAACCTACACAATCATTGATATAGTAGCACCATTTATTGTTTCGCTTTCCAATCTATTATAGAGCCAACTATAGCAAGTGCAATAAATATTCATACAGGTTCCACTCTATACATTTAATGATAGTTACATGAAGATTAAGGGGTGCTTTGTCAATGGAATAAAACATTAAGCAAACTTTATATAGAAATGATTTAAGATCAAAAAAGATAGTGTTAGATAAAAATAAAAAAAATGTCAATTTTTTCCAAGTACAGTAAGACCCTGCTTAAGGCACGGAATGTGTTCCTAGATGACAAAGCGCATAATTTTAAGTTATTTTTATATAAATTTTTGCATAATAATATGTGTTAAATAATACACAAACATATGCGCACAGAAATGTAAAGTTAATTTTTTGTGACAAAGGTCCTGGCTCTTCTGAAATTCTTGTTTTTTGCAATGTCATATAGTTTCATTGGTCGCTTTCTTTTTCTTTCCTTAAGCAAATACGTCAGTAGCAGAAGATCGCATCCAAAATGCCTCGTTTTGCTTTGGCACTCCTATCAAAATCTGGATCATTAGCTACAATTTGATAAACGATTTTGGTTATCATTATCAAACTTTTACTAAGGAAAACTAGAGAATTTTTTGGATTCTTCGTCTTCAGAATCTATTTTCCAGTTCTACATGAATTCCTTGTTCTGCCAGTTCTTGAAGGTTTTTGTTGGTAAGGCTCTCCCCAGTAACACCAATAATATCCTGCTTGTCTACATCTCCTGTATTGATTTAAGTTGACAATTTTATCAACCTAATGACACAGCGATAGGCTCTTCTTGATGACAATTCTTGGATACCTTCAGCTATAACTAGTTGCCACACTTTGTTCATGCATTTATCAGTTAATTCTTGCCAAGCGAAGTTGATATTTCCTATGACATCCATGATGTTATATTTTTTCCAAAATTGCACCAAACAAACAGATTTAAGGGAAGTACAGTGCTACAACAAATTGCCACCTTTTTCTGATTGGTTCGTGTTTGNAAGTTGATATTTCCTATGACATCCATGATGTTATATTTTTTCCAAAATTGCACCAAACAAACAGATTTAAGGGAAGTACAGTGCTACAACAAATTGCCATCTTTTTCTGATTGGTTCGTGTTTGGGAATAATTGTATTATATATGAATCAATGAAATACCGTGTAAATTTTGAGCGTTTTTTAAGCATCAAGCAGACTGCGTTATACTGAATCAGCATTAAGCGGGGTCTTACTGTATAATAAATATACACCTGTAAATATTCCCAAAAATAAGATGGTTTCTTGCTGAATTCAGTACTTCATAGTGATTCCCTTAGCATTTATGATTGCACAGAGAAGCAAGCATTGATGTCACCTACAGGTGTTATGGAAGATGGTATATAGTTCCATTCTGCTATTATAGTATTGAGATCTTTTTGGAGGCACTTTTTATGGAAAATTCTTGTTGAAAACAAGAATTTTCCATAAATATGTTCTATTGGATTAATTTTTGTAGATTGGGGAAGAGAATGGAGTTGTGCAGGAATTTGTATGCTAGCCACATTTTGGTATTATGAACAGTATGCTATGGATCTTTTTCCTGCATAAAAACTTGGTTGTCTTGGAAGTCCATTTTATTCACACTACTAGAAAGGTTAGACCATAGAATGTTTATGTAATGCTTGTAGACAATGATTCCCCTCATTGTGCAAATTTTCCAACCCGTACAGCATTCACGCAGCTCAATACAAGGACAGATTCATCTCTATGTTTTACTGTAGAAATCAAATAATGTGAGTTCTGTACATTTTTTTTTCTCAAATCATTCTTTTGCCATTGGAGCAAAAAGTATTGAATTTGCTTTTATCAGTGAATACCATCCATTTCCAGAAAGTCTTCGTCCTTATTATCATATTGTAAAGCAAAATGAAGACGTTTCTTCTGGTTTTGTTTGTTCAACCAGAATTTCTTGCCTCTTGATCATTATAACCTTGTTGTTTGCACACATTGTGCACTGTACTGGCTGATACTCTCATACCTCTTACCCAAGTCAGCAGCTATCATTAGAGCACTAATCTTAGGGTATTTCTTGATACAATGAATTATTACAGATTTATCTGGTTTGGTCAGGATATTGGAATGGCCAGTTCTGTGTTTATTCTTCAATGTCTCTCAATCTCAATCAATAATGCCTTGAATGGTTGATTGAGGCCACTCAGCCAGCTTTGATTATGTTATTTAATGGTTTGATCTGATTGTGAAGCTTAACTATAACTCTTCTGTCTCAGTAGTTTCCTTGCCCTTTCAACTTATACTTCTGCAAATAGTCACTGTTGCAGTTTCAGTAGAATGGCCTGATGATAGGGCACCAGTAGAGACAAGTGACACTATGACACTAGGTATATTCAGAAATTAAGTCATGCAGAGATGTTAACACAACTCTGTGGTCAGATGTATGAATGCTTTTTATGTGCTGCGTAGCAGCAAGTTTGAGTACTGGCTTTGAGAATGTAGAATTTATTTGATCTTGCACTCACTATTAAATGATTCGTGTAGTGTCACCCCGTAAGAAACACGATGCATTCATCATGTTGACTTACTTGCATAAAATAATGCTGAAAAGGTTGGACTTAATTGAAACTAGGCAGTGTACAAATACTTTTTGCATTCACTGTATCGTTTCACTTTCCAATTAAAAGTAGAATATTTTGCTGTTTGTATAATGCTGTGACCTGTTTTATATGAAAAATCTATGTGATATTTGTGATCAGCATGATTGAATTACTGTAAAACAGTTGCAATTTCAAAAATTCCAGTATCATGTAGGCCTGTGTGATGGTTATTACAGAGATGTCAATGAGTTGTTTCTGTTATCAAAACATTTGTATTTTGATTGACACATAAGTACAGCCAAAGTAAGCTGGTACAGTACATATAAGTGCATGCTCTTACATTATGCAAGGTATGCATTTATAAGCATGGAAAAATGATAGCTTTCATGCACAAATTTTATAATCTGAATATTATTTAACATTATGCCATTCACAGTTTCTTAAAGTATATAAATCTTGAATTAATATATTTTAATATTATTATTATTGTCTATCTGAAGATTACTTAATCTTTATAAGGAATGAGCAATTATTTATTGTAACATCACAATACAAGACTGCAATTTTTAATTTATTTACTTTAAAGTATATGCTCTCCATCTCAAATTAGTACTATAGTGTCTTGCCTTTGTACATCATACTTTTCTGTTAGCTATGGAGTGGTGACAGTCAACATCTATCTAACATCTTTTGGGGGAAATTTTTGAATTGAAATAAGGTGACTTCTGGTTTGCATCAGAAGTTCATGTATAGATAATTGGGGCCTCCTGCTTCTAGGCTTTCTATATCTGGTCTCGACTTTCATCTATCTAACTCTGTTCTCAAGATTAAGGAAGGGCGGACAGATGACGCTCAGAAGTACAGACTATGACGATAGTAACTTCATAATACAAATTATTTCAAATTGTGTCTAGTTGCAAGTATATAGGTATAATAATTTTGTGTAAAAACTAATGTTACGTGCTAGGGCTAGTGGAAATTTATAGGCCTACAATTTTTTTAAATTGCAGCCCAAAAAGCTTGTCTTGATGGACTATGATTCCTCATCTATAGCTTAATACTTGATGCTTTTGGACTATTGTTTCTTTTAAACTTCTGAGTTGTTGGCAGTACTTATCATTTTCATTTCATTATATATCAATAGTTCATAACAAATGATTCTTTTCCAATTCCACCAAACAGATATCTTCTGATTAGCATTAGCTTTAGGGTAGTTAATGCTAATCCTAGTGCAATATCATATACTACTAATTTTTCATCTCCCATTATCAGATGGTTCAAAATATATGTCAAAACAGCATCCTACTGGATATATTAATGGAACAAATTTTTTTCAGGGAGCTGATGAGGCATTCTAGAACTTCACTTAGCCTAGTTCTTTTAGGTTCTTTAAAAACTTTAATTGTGTCTTGGAAGTCTTTGCAGCTCTTTTATAGTCATTTTAGAGTTAATTTTAATTCTAATCCTTGTTAGGTCCTCAGTCAAGGGTATTCTTGATTAACTCATTTTTAACATCTGGTTTTTCATCCTTAACATTTTTAAAACTGCCAGGTTTTCTGTTAAAGCATTTTCTCCATAAACTGCATAGGTTTTTATAGTAGCTTCTGCAACATTTTCTCTGGTCACATGAGAAACAAACAGCATTTTTTATTCTCTTTTAGTCACTAAAAACATATCAAATTCAAAATAATTTTTAATGATAGTTCTTGTGATTCTCTTATCTTTGAAATAGCTATAACTTACCCTAATATAACATCGTTTTGATTTTATTGAAGCCATCAAAAATTTTCTTCAAAAAGCCTAGAAAAAATTGTACAACCCAATACATAATTTTAGTTTTGAAAAGATTAATTTCACATCTGCAAAACAGACTTTCATCCCTTTATTTCGTTTTCTTTAATAGAATATAAATATCCATTNTTATTATTATAAACAGGTTTGTTAAATACCAAAGTACAGGGTTAGTAAGAAATAAGTTTTCCACGTTAGAGAGTAGAGTGTGTTCTACTGCTCGAAATGAGACAAAATTTGCACTACAGATAATTCAAATGATGTGCTTGACATTTCTTAAATTAAAAAAAATATATAGTACAAAAATCCATCGATGGGTGGCACTGGAGCACACAGACATGTTGAATATGTAGCACTAAAACTGCTCAATATGTCGTCTTCATTATTAACAATGTGCTATAATCGCAAAACCATACTAAGACAGCCTTTCACAGATGCACGGGTAATCAGCCATTATTTTCCTTTAGCATTGCCTCCTTGCTCACTGAATATCATTTCTTGTGACTTTTGGTTATGGAGTTTCCTGAAGGACAGTGTCTATTGTAGAAAACCTGCATCTGTGCCAGATCTGAAGGACTGCATTTGGCACCATGTTCTGGATATTCCGGAAGACTCACTGTGTTCAGCTGTGGGAAATATGGTTTTGTGATTAGAGCACATTGTTTAAAATGAAGAAGGACATATTAAGCAGTTATTTAGTACTACATATTCAACATTTGTGTGTGTGCACACATTCAATATTTCTGTGTGCTCCAGCACCACCTATTGACGGATTATGTACTTTTTACTAATTTATTTATGTAAGAAATGTCAAGCACATTGAATTATTTGTAGTCCAAATTTTGTCTCATTTTGAGCAGTAGCATGCTCTCCAGAGCTCTCTGAAGTGGGGAAACTTATTTCTCACTAACCCTGTAGATAAATAATTTATCTGAATGAAGATATCATCTCTGGGTCAGGCTTAGTATTGTTTTATAGAACTTTTTAAATATCAGTTAAATGCTGATCAAAGTTTCTTCTTTTTCTGATATTTGACTGTCATATAATTTCTCAAAGACAATAACAGTCCTTAGAAAACCATCCTTTTACTACCACAACATTAAAGTTTATTGTTTTGTGTACTCTCATTTCCAAAAGTGATGGGGTGACAATGAACAATCCAAAAAAAGAGCAATAAAAGAAAGTGCAGTGTGTTGTGTATGATCTTATCTTGATAATTACCAAAATGCTTCAAATACTTTTGTTTCAAATCCTTAATAACTAATTAAGGATTTGAAACAAAAATATTTTATTGTTTGACATTTATAGTAATATTTATTAAATTTGTCATTTATAGATCTGTGCTTTGAGAATTACTGAGAGAGCTCGTGGTAGAATTTTGAAAGCTGGAGGTGAAATAATGACTTTTGATCAGTTAGCTCTGAAGTCACCAAAAGGAAAAGGAACTGTATTGATACAAGGTGAAGTTTTAAATACTGTATCTATAAATTGTTATTTAAATATAAATAGTTTATCATTTAATATATAAAATTGTGTTAAAAAACAGTAAAGAAGCATTAGAAAAATGTGTGAATCTTGTTTTTTTTATAAAAGTCTGTAACAGCTGGAACATAGATAAATTAAACACTGATACCATTCATACAATCTTTCAGCAAATAATATATATTTGAATTCAATACAAAACAGAAGGGGCCTGCATCAAGCATTGAACTTTACAGAACTGTAGAGATTCTGTTTTATAACGTTTTTTAAAATTGTTTTCTTTTTGATGTTGACTGGTTTTTGAATATTTAACACGTGTGTTACATTTTACATATATTCTACAAATTATTATAACAAGAGGATACATGCACATAGTACAAAAATTTATTTATCTATAGTATCATCATGTTGTAATATCATTTATCTGCTCCCCTTTAGAGAGTTATCAACCAAAAACTGCCAAGCAATGGATATTGTCTCATGGTCTTTTTACTATTAATGCACTTTCCATCAGTTGATGCATTAAGACTCCTTATGGTCCAATATGTGAATGAGCCAGGGTGTCAATCATCTGGAGTAAGGCAAAACTCATAGTTTTGCCTTACTCCAGATGATTGACACCCTGGCTCATTCACATATTGGACCAGAATTGTTACTAGTTTATTATTAGGGATGTCCTCTTGATGTTCTTTAATTCTACATGTCTATGATCTATTAGTAGAGCCCACATAAATAAGATCTCTTTCAAATCTATTGTCCAATATGGGAACAATATACCCCTGGGGTTCTATTCACTTTGATCTTATCTTTGGCATTGGATAGTAAGCAAAAGATGGTCAGATTGCACTGATATGTTAACATATTTTGCTATCTTTTATAAGTGGCTTGCAGCCTTGGATCATAGCCACTATGAGGTGTTTTTGTTCCTGCTCTCGAGGTTGTGTCTCTTCTTTCCTGTTGTTAGTGGGGTGGATATTGTTCTTACACTCAATTTTATGAGCTAATGATGGAATAAGTTTTTTTTCTATATCTGTGCTTTATTGCTATACTGTTAATGCACTCCAATTCTATCTTAGTACCTTTAGTGTTGGAGCAATGTGTAAAAGTTCTACTAACTAATGCTCTAAACCCAGCCAGCTTATAACGGTATAGGTCACTGGAAACTGCAGGAATAAAGCAGGTATCTACCTGCTTTATTCCTGCAGGTTATAAACCCATGTGTCAATCCTGCCATTTTTTAACATCATGTAGAGATCAAGGAAATGGACCTCGTTAGTGCTAATTTTGTCTATTTTAAGTGTGAATCTTTAATGGTTGACATTGAATCACTGCAACAGTTTATTCACATCTAGTTCAAACTTCCAAATGGTCAAAATGTCATCAATGTTACAGGTTTAATAAAGTATCTCTGGTAAGAATTCTTGTATTATTTTGTTCTCGAACAATTGATCTATAAGTTCACAAATCCCATGACAGTTAATGAAACTTGACATTATTGCTATATTCCATAATGTAAACAGCAATTTCAAGAACTAAAGCATCATTGCAATTCTCCACCAAAGAAGGCCAGGTCATTTCCATCAACTGGGAAGGTAATGACCATGATTTTTTAAGAGGGCATTTCTCATTGATTACCTTACAAAAGACTAAGCTATCAACTGTCTTTATTATGCTGTCAATTGAATAGCAGCAATTACAGAAAAATGTGCTATTCCATCATGATAATGTACTTTCTTGTATAAGTCACATTGTTCAAAAGAAATTGAATGAGTTATGATTCCAAGTAATTCTCCACTCAACCTACTCACCATATCTAGCACAAAATGGCTTTCAAGCTCAAACTTTTCCCTGTCGAAAAGAAATTTAAATTGGATAAATAACTTATTGCTGCAACGGAGAAGTTGATCATTACAGAACAGGCATAATGGCACTTCAGCACTTGCTGGTTCTACTATGTTGAATTAGAAGGGAAAATGTGTTGAAAAATAAAAGAAATGATTCACTAACTTATGTTTTTCATTTTGAAGTCTCATATCCTATCAAATCACCTTTGTAATTGAACAAAGTGTAAACTATTATTTAATTCATTGTTAAGACTGTTTTTTCAGTGTGTTAAAACAATTTAGTTTTTTGTAATTAAAAAATTAGGTTTTCCTGACATTGGCCCTTTTTGATTGATGGTTTCAATTATAGTTTTTATTTACTTAAGGGCATATTAACACTCAAAGAATAGTTGTTCCAGGATAATTTAAGAATGCTTTTATTAAAGATACTGCCACTGACCAGTGCTATGATTTTCATTCTGGGAGTGAAGGTGGGACAGAACATTGTTTTAGTGAGGTGGATGTTATCTGCAGATTTTAAATTTAACAATTGATCTTTAGTAAGATGTGAGTGGAAAGTTTAATGAAAATTGTAATTATTTGGTGAACGATCAATACACATTTAAAGAAATTCTCCATTAATGGTCAATATAGGTAAAATCGAATAAATTATTTTAGGATGAGGTGGCATTGCTCTCATCCCACCCTAGTGCCATTCATGATACTGACAATATAACAAAAGTTGTTTCAGACAAGAAAGTTTTATGAGGCTAGTACTGGAATTGTGTTCCATAATTCAAAAATTATTTCACTAAGGATGGTGAGATTGATTGAAGAGAGCTGTTCTTTTTGAAATAATCTCTCTTCATATACAGGAATGAAAAGATGACATTGATAAAGTGCTGTCCCTTCACTCTTAATTCTTAAATTCTTTGATAAAGAATATCACTCTTAACAAAAGAGCGAAGGGACAGCACTTGATCAACGTCATCTTTTATTCCTATATATAAATGTGCCTTATTCCATTTCAACTTTCATGGTTCAAAAGATTCAACTACTTTTTAAACCAAATTCTAAAAGGGTTGTTTAAAACATTTGAAGATATCTTTATTATTTTTATAATGTCATTTTTTTTCAAAGATATGCTAATTATGTATTGTGTAAGATCTGTTAAAACAATTATTACCTTTCTTACATTTATCTTTGCTATATATGTCCTTTCTGAATGTACAAATGTTGTCAGAATGGATCCAAAGACTTTATTGAAGGATTAAAATTAATTATTGAGAGTATAATAAATAAATTTGGGTAGGTGTACAGATGTAAATTGATAAACTGTAATGTTTTAACACAACAGATAACTGGAGTGTAACTTTAACCTATGACTTGAAATAAAATTGTTGAAATTAATTTCCAGTAAATAGATTCAATAATAATAATAAAATGGGTCATCATAATGTCATTCAGTGATGTTTGAATAGTGTTTAACTTTTTCTTTACAGCTTTGTTTCATTAATACAGTATACATGTTTGAATAAAATTTGCTTAAATTATGAATTACTGTGATAAAATTAATGAGGAGTTATTAATTTTGTAGGACCAAGAAAAGCTAGAGAAGCATGTAGACATTTTGGTCCAGCTCCTGGAGTTCCACACAGCCACACTAAGTAAGTATTATTAAAACTATAGATTAAAACTCAAAATTATAAAATTACAACATAAGTAATTGCAATTCAGACTGGCTTTTAAATCAAGAACTGAAATCTCAATTTGTCTTAATACAGTAGGGCGTCGATTATCCAAATCAATTGGGAACTAGGGTTCTTCGGAAGATAGATGTTTCGGATAACCGATTATGTACGAAAAAATATATTAATTTATCCCATCTTGACATTTTTCTCCATTGCGTGTCGCTTCACGTTGAATTTTTGTCGATGTTAAGCCTAACGAAGACTATTATATCGTTAAAAATTGCTTTTTTATTTTGCACAAACAAAATAAATATATTGAAAAATATAAAAACAATAAAAAATTATACTTCAGAAGTTAATTTAGTATCAAAAACGTAAAATATTTGAGTAGCCCAAGACATAGCCAAAGATTGCAGCGCCACAGCACTGGCAAAAATTTAAATTTGCCGACTGGAATTCTTTCGGATGATTGGCTTTTGGATAATCGATGCTCTACTGTATTAACTTAATTATCAAATTTATAATAATATTTTGATGATGATGGTTATTAGATTTTAATTAAAATATTTATGTACATATTGTTTACGAAATTTTGAAAATGTTTTACATCTTTATTAATTTATAATTAAATTAATAAAGATGTAAAACAAGTAGATGGTATAAACACAGAAATGTAAAGCAATAAAAACATAGAGGTAAAAAGAATTAATAATTAAATTTTATTTGCTTATTTCAAAAATCTGAATATCATTTATTTGCAATTTTGAAATCTTAATTGGATTAAATATAATCAAATTGTTGATTTTCATGTTTTAAAATAACAAATATTTTCTTTTATAGGCCCTATGTTAGATCAAAGGGAAGAAAATTTGAGAGAGCTCGTGGTCGAAGGAAGAGTCGTGGTTTTAAAGTGTAATATTGTGCTATTGATGGTTGTAAATAAACTGTCAATTTGAAATTTGAGTAGTAAATAAAATTGCTATTACATTATAAAACTATATTTTTTCGGTATAGATGTTTATTATATACCATAGCTATTCTAAAAGAATACATCAAAACAAATTTCTTTTATTAGCTTGACTTCATTAACGTTCATTTTAATTATATTTAATTTTTTCAAAATTTATTTAATATTTTGAGAAAAATTGTTACCATATTTTTGCATATATCAGAGCATGCTCTTATAAACTGGGCAAAATCATTTATGCAAAGTAAGTAAAAACTGTTTTTAATAACATATCTACAAAATTTATTTTTTTGACTAGGTTTAATTAAATTTAACTCAAACAATTTAGATTAAATGTACAGTACTATGCTAATTTGAAAAATAAAATTATTTTTGTCCACAATGTAAGAAATTTTCACAGTTGTGAAAAGAAAATCATGAAATTAATCAAGTTAAATTTTCTTAAGGATAACATACAATACAAGATTTATTGAATAATGATAAAATTTTCTAAAATATCATATATGAAAAGAAAATACAGTTAATGAATGAAAATATAAAACAAAATTAGTCTTAAAGAATTTTTCTGTTTCTTTAAACAAATGTTTAAGACTTTGCTGCAATATAACTAAATTTGTGATTTTGATGAGAGATTTCATGATGTAGGAGGTGATAGTACAGAAAATCAGGACTGTGCAATATGTCTGACAGCAGAAAATAAACGATATACTTTCATTTTTTTATTGTAGCTCGTTACTGCTGTTGTCAAAGGATCAAACAAAAATAACATTCTCGTGAGTCACTGACTCTTGCCATACCATTGAAATAGCAAATGAAAGAGTTTTTCTAGCCTTGAATCTGTTTTCTCAGTTCAACATGTGAAAAACTATATAGAGGCCATTTCTTGTCCTGGTCTCCCAGGTTTGATTACAAAATACATGTTTTTTTGACAAAATCTGTTATATTGTACTGACTTTATTACAAAACTACTTCATACATAAGATGAATCTGGGCTATTAACACAGCCTCTTGAAACCATAATGCATTAATAAAGAACAACACACAAGTTAAAATAAGTGAAATACACTTCAAACACAGTTTCAAATGAATTTTCACAAAATGTTACACAATTATTTTGTCATGGCATAGCATAGCCTGTATGACTTTTGTGCCAAAACACAAACCAACCTACACAATCATTGATATAGTAGCACCATTTATTGTTTCGCTTTCCAATCTATTATAGAGCCAACTATAGCAAGTGCAATAAATATTCATACAGGTTCCACTCTATACATTTAATGATAGTTACATGAAGATTAAGGGGTGCTTTGTCAATGGAATAAAACATTAAGCAAACTTTATATAGAAATGATTTAAGATCAAAAAAGATAGTGTTAGATAAAAATAAAAAAAATGTCAATTTTTTCCAAGTACAGTAAGACCCTGCTTAAGGCACGGAATGTGTTCCTAGATGACAAAGCGCATAATTTTAAGTTATTTTTATATAAATTTTTGCATAATAATATGTGTTAAATAATACACAAACATATGCGCACAGAAATGTAAAGTTAATTTTTTGTGACAAAGGTCCTGGCTCTTCTGAAATTCTTGTTTTTTGCAATGTCATATAGTTTCATTGGTCGCTTTCTTTTTCTTTCCTTAAGCAAATACGTCAGTAGCAGAAGATCGCATCCAAAATGCCTCGTTTTGCTTTGGCACTCCTATCAAAATCTGGATCATTAGCTACAATTTGATAAACGATTTTGGTTATCATTATCAAACTTTTACTAAGGAAAACTAGAGAATTTTTTGGATTCTTCGTCTTCAGAATCTATTTTCCAGTTCTACATGAATTCCTTGTTCTGCCAGTTCTTGAAGGTTTTTGTTGGTAAGGCTCTCCCCAGTAACACCAATAATATCCTGCTTGTCTACATCTCCTGTATTGATTTAAGTTGACAATTTTATCAACCTAATGACACAGCGATAGGCTCTTCTTGATGACAATTCTTGGATACCTTCAGCTATAACTAGTTGCCACACTTTGTTCATGCATTTATCAGTTAATTCTTGCCAAGCGAAGTTGATATTTCCTATGACATCCATGATGTTATATTTTTTCCAAAATTGCACCAAACAAACAGATTTAAGGGAAGTACAGTGCTACAACAAATTGCCACCTTTTTCTGATTGGTTCGTGTTTGGGAATAATTGTATTATATATGAATCAATGAAATACCGTGTAAATTTTGAGCGTTTTTTAAGCATCAAGCAGACTGCGTTATACTGAATCAGCATTAAGCGGGGTCTTACTGTATAATAAATATACACTTGTAAATATTCCCAAAAATAAGATGGTTTCTTGCTGAATTCAGTACTTTATAGGGATTCCCTTAGCATTTATGATTGCACAGAGAAGCAAGCATTGATGTCACCTACAGGTGTTACGGAAGATGGTATAGAGTTCCATTCTGCTATTATAGTATTGAGATCTTTTTGGAGGCACTTTTTCTTTTTATGGAAAATTCTTGTTGAAAACAAGAATTTTCCATAAATATGTTCTATTGGATTAATTTTTGTAGATTGGGGAAGAGAATGGAGTTGTGCAGGAATTTGTATGCTAGCCACATTTTGATATTATGAACAGTATGCTATGGATCTTTTTCCTGCATAAAAACTTGGTTGTCTTGGAAGTCCATTTTATTCACACTACTAGAAAGGTTAGACCATAGAATGTTTATGTAATGCTTGTGGACAATGATTCCCCTCATTGTGCAAATTTTCCAACCCGTACAGCATTCACGCAGCTCAATACAAGGACAGATTCATCTCTATGTTTTACTGTAGAAATCAAATAATGTGAGTTCTGTACATTCTTTTTTCTCAAATCACCCTTTTCCATTGGAGCAAAAAGTATTGAATTTGCTTTTATCAGTGAATACCATCCATTTCCAGAAAGTCTTCGTCCTTATTATCATATTGTAAAGCAAAATGAAGACGTTTCTTCTGGTTTTGTTTGTTCAACCAGAATTTCTTGCCTCTTGACCATTATAACCTTGTTGTTTGCACACATTGTGCACTGTACTGGCTGATACTCTCACACCTCTTACCCAAGTCAGCAGCTATCATTAGAGCACTAATCTTAGGGTATTTCTTGATACAATAAATTATTAGAGATTTATCTGGTTTGGTCAGGATATTGGAATGGCCAGTTCTGTGTTTATTCTTCAATGTCTCTCAATCTCAATCAATAATGCCTTGAATGGTTGATTGAGGCCACTCAGCCAGCTTTGATATGTTATTTAATGGTTTGATCTGATTGTGAAGCTTAACTATAACTCTTCTGTCTCAGTAGTTTCCTTGCCCTTTTAACTTATACTTCTGCAAATAGTCACTGTTGCAGTTTCAGTAGAATGGCCTGATGATAGGGCACCAGTAGAGACAAGTGACACTATGACACTAGGTATATTCAGAAATTAAGTCATGCAGAGATGTTAACACAACTCTGTGGTCAGATGTATGAATGCTTTTTATGTGCTGCGTAGCAGCAAGTTTGAGTACTGGCTTTGAGAATGTAGAATTTATTTGATCTTGCACTCACTATTAAATGATTCGTGTAGTGTCACCCCGTAAGAAACACGATGCATTCATCATGTTGACTTACTTGCATAAAATAATGCTGAAAAGGTTGGACTTAATTGAAACTAGGCAGTGTACAAATACTTTTTGCATTCACTGTATCGTTTCACTTTCCAATTAAAAGTAGAATATTTTGCTGTTTGTATAATGCTGTGACCTGTTTTATATGAAAAATCTATGTGATATTTGTGATCAGCGTGATTGAATTACTGTAAAACAGTTGCAATTTCAAAAATTCCAGTATCATGTAGGCCTGTGTGATGGTTATTACAGAGATGTCAATGAGTTGTTTCTGTTATCAAAACATTTGTATTTTGATTGACACATAAGTACAGCCAAAGTAAGCTGGTACAGTACATATAAGTGCATGCTCTTACATTATGCAAGGTATGCATTTATAAGCATGGAAAAATGATAGCTTTCATGCACAAATTTTATAATCTGAATATTATTTAACATTATGCCATTCACAGTTTCTTAAAGTATATAAATCTTGAATTAATATATTTTAATATTATTATTATTGTCTATCTGAAGATTACTTAATCTTTATAAGGAATGAGCAATTATTTATTGTAACATCACAATACAAGACTGCAATTTTTAATTTATTTACTTTAAAGTATATGCTCTCCATCTCAAATTAGTACTATAGTGTCTTGCCTTTGTACATCATACTTTTCTGTTAGCTATGGAGTGGTGACAGTCAACATCTATCTAACATCTTTTGGGGGAAATTTTTGAATTGAAATAAGGTGACTTCTGGTTTGCATCAGAAGTTCATGTATAGATAATTGGGGCCTCCTGCTTCTAGGCTTTCTATATCTGGTCTCGACTTTCATCTATCTAACTCTGTTCTCAAGATTAAGGAAGGACGGACAGATGACGCTCAGAAGTACAGACTATGACGATAGTAACTTCATAATACAAATTATTTCAAATTGTGTCTAGTTGCAAGTATATAGGTATAATAATTTTGTGTAAAAACTAATGTTACGTGCTAGGGCTAGTGGAAATTTATAGGCCTACAATTTTTTTAAATTGCAGCCCAAAAAGCTTGTCTTGATGGACTATGATTCCTCATCTATAGCTTAATACTTGATGCTTTTGGACTATTGTTTCTTTTAAACTTCTGAGTTGTTGGCAGTACTTATCATTTTCATTTCATTATATATCTATAGTTCATAACAAATGATTCTTTTCCAATTCCACCAAACAGATATCTTCTGATTAGCATTAGCTTTAGGGTAGTTAATGCTAATCGTAGTGCAATATCATATACTACTAATTTTTCATTTCCCATTATCAGATGGTTTAAAATATATGTCAAAATAGCATCCTACTGGATATATTAATGGAACAAATTTTTTTCAGGGAGCTGATGAGGCATTCTAGAACTTCACTTAGCCT